CTGCTGCTCGCTGGATATTTTCTCCTTTTCCAACCATTCTCTGTAAACCCTGGAGATGGTTGTGTGGGAAAATCCCACGTCAGCAGTTTCGAAACACTCCTGCCTGGCACCAACAGTCACATAAATCACCCTTCTTCTCCAGTCTGGTGCTCAGATTGAACTTCAGCAGTCTTGACCATGTCTACATGCCTAAATGACTGAGATGCTGCCATGTGATTGGCTAATTATAGCCTTCTTGTTAACAAGAAGTGGAACAGGTGTACCTAATGAAGTGATCAGTGAGTGTATATGAATTACCAAGTAATATTGTTATAAAAACCAAAAAGTTAATACAACCAGCTAACTGCGCTAACACGTTGACGCCGTGCAGCCCCGCACGGGGTGATCGGCGTTAATTCGCTAACGGAGATTTGCTGCATTAATGCAGTTAAACGTCATTTTAACAAGATTAACGCTACCAGCACTAATATATATTAGGTAATGAACATCTGCTATACCTGCAGCATCAGATGTATCGCCTCCCTCCTCACAGTGGATATCCATCTACAACAGTCTAGTTAATTATTTGCCATCTGCACACCTGTTTTTTAATTTATATTTCATTTTATGACCTCTAATGTTCCTCTTTTCTTCATCTTATATAGATGGTAACTTCCTGGCCATCGGATCCCACGACAACTACATCTATATCTACGCTGTGGCAGAAAATGGGAGGAAGTACAGTCGAGTGGGGAAGTGCTCGGTGAGCACCTGTATTTATAATCCCCCTCATCCTTTATTTCAAGTTCCTTTCTGCTTCACCTTTATCTTTAGCTCCCTCCTCAGTTCTGCATTCCAGTGCTTTCTGGATGTGTGTTTACAGAGAACCGGCAAAGTCATAAATAACAACCCCCAGAGTCATACCCTGCTGAGACTATGCATCAACATTTCTAGGATTATTTATAGTTCTTGGATACCCATACTGACTCCACTCTGAAAATACTGTGAAGTGTGTGTTGCTGTGTGTGTCTGAGATGCATTTTTAAACTTTTCTAACTTCTCCCAGGGTCACTCCAGTTTCATCACTCATCTGGACTGGTCTGTGGACTCTCAGTACCTGGTATCAAATTCAGGCGACTATGAGATACTGTACTGTAAGTCACTTATCCTCAGGTTTCCGTTAGGATAGATATAATCCTTAAAAATGCCACGAAATCTAGTAAAGTTGGCCTAAAATGATTTTTCCCCTTTCATGCATTCATGAAACTAGTCACTGTGCAAAACTGTGTTCACAACCAGCTCTGAGGTAGCAGGAGAGCACAAACTTGGTTGTGCATTTGAGCAATCTTAGTTAGTTTCGTAAGATGTTGAGTGTAAAGTTTTCAGTCACAGCAATTTGGAGTTGGCATGCCCAACAGTACCCATTCTAAGCCACGCTAAGACCTGTTGTGTATTTGCTTTGTATTTGTTTCCTCAGGGATCCCATCAGTGTGTAAACAGGTGGTCAGCGTGGAGACAACCAGAGATATTGAGTGGGCCACCCACACCTGCACTCTGGGCTTCCAGGTCTTTGGTAAGTGGCGGATCCTTTGATCTCCCTCTTTACGTGTATGTTGGTATTTAATTGTGCATTCAGTAGAAATTTCCGGCGCCCTCTGCTTCCCCAGGCCTGTGGCCCGACGGCTCAGACGGCACCGACATCAACGCCGTGTGCAGATCCAACGATAAGAGCCTCCTGGTTACCGGAGACGACTTTGGGAAGGTCCACCTCTTCTCATACCCCTGCTCACAGTTCAGGGTGAGATGCTGCTCACGGTGATGTTAAGCAGGATATTCGGCTCAGTATCGAAAAACTGTGTTGTTTTTGTTTCTTTCCAGGCTCCCAGCCATGTTTACGGTGGCCACAGCAGTCACGTGACCAATGTAACCTTCCTGTATGATGACAGCTGCCTGGTGTCGACAGGTGGGAAGGACATGAGCGTGATGCAGTGGAGGATAGTCTGAGCGAGCACAGAAATGGATACTGTCCAGCTTCTCGCTGCTGCTGCTGCGGCTGAAGCAAAGTGAACCAAACTGCACTAAACTGAACCAAACCAAACTGAAACGAACTCAGACGCTAACACAGATGTGGATCTGAATGAACTGAAGTGGTTTTGATTGAAGAGAAACTTTTTGACCTGAGGTTTCCTTTCCCCGATCCACACACAGATCCTAACTGCGACAAACTGTCGGGGGTCTGACATGCGCCTGCTTGAAAGACAAAAATCCTCTTATTTCCCCCTTTCTCTGTCTCCGCACTACATGTAAAAAGAAATCTCCCCCTCGCGTACTGTAGCCTTGCACCCAGCGACATTAAACAAAACAAATCAAACGGATCAATGCGAAAACCAAAGGCCCTGTCTGACCCGATGGGTGCGTTTTTACAGTTTGGCTTCACTGTCCTTGTGTAGTACACACTCCTGCCACCAGATAATGGACTGAAGAGGTTTGTTTTGCTGCCTTTCAGAGCCCCTCCAGACTGAACTGGAGATCCGAGAACACTGCAACAAAAACTGTGCACAGAAAAAAATACAGTGTGATTTTTTTCTAATTGTCAAACTTTTATTTTGTATTTAACAACTCAGGAAAGCACTAGTGAAGCAAGGCCCTTCCCCGTTTTGTTAACACTGTCACATCAGAAAGAGTCTCTGAAAAAACATCTCACTAAAATATCCAAACGTCTCATTAACGGTTAATATTAGATCCAACTTTTGTTCAGCCATTATTGCTTTGTTGGTTTTGTGGGACTGAGGAGGATACTGTGAGTGAGGAGGTTGTTACCCACTATTTAAAACCAGAAGGATCTAATAAGAAATTTATTTGAACATGTTCAAATTGTTTGTGCTTCCATCTCTTTACACAGGACCCCTTTCCTATTATTTATTGATTGTGCGTAAAATCCTTCACTGCCAGCTTGATTTCCTTTGACCCTTTTTCCTGCAATAAATCTCTGTTTAGATCGGTAGATGTACTAAAAAGCTTGAAACTGAGGACGCAGTGGGTGAAATATACACTATTTTGGTTTGCTAGGTTTCTCTGACTTTTGCCTGGAGTGCAAGGAGAATCAAAATGAAGCGTATGCTGAGGTTTTCAGTGATGTGAAGCCCTTTCAAATCTGTGTCTTTCCACTTTTTATTGTACCTACATCAGTTTATGAAGGGGAAGAATGAGACCATTACACTGTAACTGTCTGATGTGCTTCTCAGCTGTGCGCCATCAGTCACTGGCAAGATATTTAACAGAACTGTTGAGATGTTTTTTGGGGGGTTTTTCTATAATGCACTGCTTCTGCCTGATTTAAAAAAAAATACAGCAGGTCTATTAAGCTAATTAACATTTAGCACTTACTGGAGCTTTTCATAAACCAATGTCTGCTCTCAGGCTTTAAAGCTGTCTGCCATCCGATCAGTGGTACGATGTGTAGCATGTCACACTCCTTATGGTTAACAGAAAAGCCAAATGAGCACACGTGCATGAGTAAATGGGACTTTTTTTTACGTGATAATTGGTTGGGGTTTAGCTGATTTAGCTGCTGCTGTTATGAGGCACACTGAGGTGGTTTAAAAATCCTGAAGGCTGGCTGATTGTTTTATCGGTTTATGTCCTTTTATCAGGAAAATTTCAGATCTTTTAACAACAGTGATTTAAAGCTGCCACTCTACAGAGTGAATGTAACATTTATTTGTCTTACCACTTTAACACTTGGGGCTGCAAAATACCATTGAACATTAAAATCTCTCTGGAA